AAGAGCACGAAGTGTGTGACTGTTGGTGAAAAACGAAGTGGACTCAACCCGCCCGGCAACTCCCAACACCTGCCCGGACCCCCCTGTGGAGTGATCTGTGAGCTGTTTTTAGCCCACTAGAAACCGATCAGTCTTCGCTGTTAGGTAAAAAATCCGGGCGAAGGACCCAACCAGATGCAGTTGCGAGTACCGCAATTGTGAGTGTCTTCTACGATGGCGCTGTAGGGGTGTGCGGAAATCTGTGCGGTGGCCACGAAACGTGTGAGGGGTGTGCCGAAATGGGTGCGGCGGGCGCATGGGAGCGCAGCCACTGGGGCCTTCGCTGGAGCTCCCTCTGGGGCCACGAAACATATGAGGGGTGTGCCGAAATGGGCGCGGCGGGCGCATGGGAGCGCAGCCACTGGGGCCTTCGCTGGAGCTCCCTATGGGGCCACGAAACGTATGAGGGGTGTGCCGAAATGGGTGCGGTGGGCGCATGGGAGCGCAGCCACTGGGGCCTTCGGTGGAGCTCCCTATGGGGCCACGAAACGTGTGAGGGGTGTGCCGAAATCTGTGCGGTGGGCGCATGGGAGCGCAGCCACTGGGGCCTTCGCTGGAGCTCCCTATGGGGCCACGAAACGTGTGAGGGGTGTGCAGAAATGGGTGCGGTGGGCGCATGGGAGCGCAGCCACTGGGGCCTTCGTGGAGCTCCCTATGGGGCCACGAAACGTGTGAGGGGTGTGCCGAAATCTGCGCGGTGGGCGCATGGGAGCGCAGCCACTGGGGCCTTCGCTGGAGCTCCCTATGGGGCCACGAAACGTGTGAGGGGTGTGCCGAAATGGGTGCGGTGGGCGCATGGGAGCGCAGCCACTGGGGCCTTCGCTGGAGCTCCCTATGGGGCCACGAAACGTGTGAGGGGTGTGCCGAAATGGGCGCGGTGGGCGCATGGGAGCGCAGCCACTGGGGCCTTCGCTGGAGCTCCCTATGGGGCCACGAAACGTGTGAGGGGTGTGCCGAAATGGGTGCGGTGGGCGCATGGGAGCGCAGCCACTGGGGCCTTCGCTGGAGCTCCCTATGGGGCCACGAAACGTGTGAGGGGTGTGCCGAAATCTGCGCGGCGGGCGCATGGGAGCGCAGCCACTGGGGCCTTCGCTGGAGCTCCCTATGGGGCCACGAAACGTGTGAGGGGTGTGCCGAAATGGGCGCGGTGGGCGCATGGGAGCGCAGCCACTGGGGCCTTCGCTGGAGCTCCCTATGGGGCCACGAAACGTGTGAGGGGTGTGCCGAAATGGGTGCGGTGGGCGCATGGGAGCGCAGCCACATGATGATGATGATGATGATGATGATGATGATGATGATGATGATGATGATGATGATGATGATGATGGCAGGAGGGAGGGGGCAGCGGGAGGAGGAGTGAACGCGGGGCGCTGTCTCTTCAAAACGAGGACCCAACACCACAGGATGGTTGGGAAAAAACAAAAAACAAAAAAAAAAAAAAAAAAAAAACATCTCCCAGAAATCGTGTGCGTAAAAAACAATATGCGGAGGGGGGCAACATCTTCCGGACGTCATCAGGGGAGAGAGGAGAGCAGTACTCATATTGTGTAAATTAAAGAGATGAAGAGGAATATTGATTGGGATAGAGATAGGGACAGATATCGGGATGCGGGCAGACAATGGGATACAATGGGAGACACTTGGCGACGCACCCAGTAGGTTCTGAGAAAAATCCTAGCCAGAACCCCTGCAGGCAAGCTGTTCGAGAGAAAGAAGGGATGACGGCAAAGACGGAGGCCGGTCCGGCAGGATGGCGGCAACCTCGCGCATATATTCTGCAGCGTGTCGTCCTTCCCGCGTCCCATCCGAGCAGCCGTGGCGTCGGCGTCCGCGGTCTTGAACATGGTCCGCTTTGCCTCCTGCATCGCAGAGTCACCTCGGGCCAAGGGGCTGACCTCCGTCTGCCCGACCGCCTTTTCCACCTCCGTCGCACCCCATCCGACCTAAGACGAAGCCTTGACAAAGACAAAATCAAACAGATGAATCGGGGATCTTTGAGATCTGGCGGCTCTGGATGTATCGGGCGCCGCGGCCTTCTGAGAGCGTTCCAGAACGCTCCGGAACGGACTTATCCGTGTGCTAGCCCCGCCCGGTCACCCCACCTGCCCCACATCCAGGACCCGATCCCCGACAACTTACTTCTCTGAGTACAGCGAGATCGCTACCCTCCGCCTGACCCCCCCCCCTCCCAACCCCAACAAGCCGACCTCGTGATAAACACAGTAAGGTTTTTACAAAAATGACCACGTGCTCCATCAATTCGCCCTTCCCACCAGCCAGCCCCGAGCTCGCGGTTTCCTCTATTTCAAAACCATGCCTTCACATTGCCCCCCACCCCACCCCAATCCCACACCACCCCACACCACGAAGCCCGACCTAATGTAGAAACCACGTGACAGCTCGCACTCGAGCCGCGAACGCACACTCACACGCAACACAACCTTGACGGACGGCGTCGTTCCACAAATTCGGCCGCGAACGCTCCGCACTCAGACAGCCTAAACAGTTATGATATGCTGCGGCGGCGGGAACCATCGCGCCACGGTCGGAACGGCAGCCAGGTTGAGTGAAGAGCGAGCTGTGCACAGAGACAGCGGGGAGAGAAGGATGATGGGCCGATGTTCCACCACCACTACCACATGTAGGAGAGGGAGGAAGAGGAAGACGAGGGGGAGGAAGAGGAGGAGGAGGAAGACGAAGAGGAAGAGTAGGAGGACGAGGAGGAGGATCGCGATCGGGATCGGGCCCGTTGGAGTTCAACTCTGACGTCTGCCTGGCGCCTGCGAACAACTGCCTGGCTTCAAAGTGCAGAGGGGGCTCTGGGGGCGAATCACTCGCCAAACCTTGAAAACGCGGCCCGTAGCTCACGACGGACGCCGCACCGCCCCAGCAAGCACCCCCTGGACAGCACGCAGCTCACGAAGGGGCCCACCTCAGGGACCCAGGGTTGCTACCGACCTCTCCCTGTTTTCCCCTTCCCCGTGCCTTTTTGCCTGGAAGGCCTCCCGCTGACCGTGGCTTGCATTTACGGGTTCTTACTGTTTCCCCTAAGGAACTGAGCTGGTGTGGCGGTCTGGCGGACATGTTGCCGCCGTCGCCGCCCCGTCGCCGCCTCGTCGCCGCCCGACGTCTGGGCAGGTGTGGCGGTCTGGCGGGCATGTTGCCGCCGTCGCCGCCCCGTCGCCGCCTCGTCGCCGCCCGTCGTCTGGGCCGATATGGCTGTCTGGCGGCTATGCTGCCGCCGTCACCGTCCCATCGCCGATTCGTCGCCGCGACATAGGTTGTTCCACATAGATTACACAACAGAATTTGCACCACATAGATTGCACCACCTAGATTGCACCACGTGAGTTGCACAACATAGATTGTTCAACATAGATTGCACAACATAGATTGCACAACATATAAATTGCACCACATATGTTGTACCACATGGATTGCACAACATTGATTGCACAGCATATTCGTCGGAGGCCTGCTGTGTCCTATTACAAATCCACAATCTACTTGCTGTAATGCGTTGAAGTCCGCGCGAGGGGGGGACTTGGGACACGTAAAAATACATGATCGTATCCCCGAGAACATAAATTCTCATAAATTATACAATTTTAGCGCCACCGAGCCACGACCCCCCATAAACTATGCAATAATCGCGTCCCTCCCCGAGGCCACGATCCCCCGTCGGAGGTTGGGGGGTGAGATCGCAGTGGAACGAAGACCCCCATCCAGGAAATCGATTCGTTTCGTTCGTGTCGTGCGTGCGGGCGAGGCGAAGCTGCGTGGGCGAGCGAAAGGAATGAACCCGCCGTTGCTAGGGCGAAGTCAAGGCAAACGATTCTCCCCCGTCCGTCCGTCTGTCTGGCGGCGGCTCGCGGTGCCCCGCGGTGTCCCGTGGTGTCTCGAGGTGTCCGCCGTTGCTAGGGCGAAGTCAAGACAAATGATTCTCCCCCGTCCGTCCGACCGTCCGGCGGTGGCTCGCGGTGTCCCGCGGTGTCCCGTGGTGTCCGCCGTTGCTAGGGCGAAGTCAAGAAAAATGATTCTCCCCCGTCCGTCCATCCGTCCGGCGTTGGCTCGCGGTGGCTCGCGGTGGCTCGCGGCGTCCCGTGGTGTCCCGTTGTGTCCCGTGGTGTCCCGTTGAGTGAGATCGATAGTGAGATCGATAATGAGATCGATACTGAGTTCGATCTGCTGCCACCGTGGTGTCCCCAAAAGTGAAATCGATAGTGAGATCGATAGTGAGATCGACAGGTGTCCTGCGGTGTCCTATGGTGTACCGTTGAGTGAGATCGATAGTGAGATCGATAGTGAGATCGATGTGGTGCCCCGAGGTGTCCCGTGGTGTCCCGCGGTGTCCCAAAAAGTGAAATCGATAGTGAGATCGATAGTGAGATCGACAGGTGTCCCGCGGTGTCCCGTGGTGTCCCGTTGAGTGAGATCGATACTGAGATCGATAGTGAGATCGATTTGGCGTCCCGAGGTGTCCCGTTGTGTCCCGTGGTGTCCTATGGTGTCCCGTTGAGTGAGATCGATAATGAGATCGATAATGAGACCGACAGTGAGATCGAGAAGTGTCCCGCGATGTCCCGTGGTGTCCCGTGGTGTCCCGTTGAACGAGATCGGTAGTGAGACCGATAGTGAGATCGATGTGGTGCCCCGTGGTGTCCCGTGGTGTCCCGTGGTGTGAGATCGATAGTGAGCCCTCCCCCCCCCCTCCACACACACACACACACACACAACCTCCTTATCACCCGAAGGGTGGTCGTTAGGTGGATTATACAAGATTCGCGCCCCCGAAGCCACGAGCTCTCTAAATTCCGCGTCCACGAGGCCACGCCCCCTCCCAAATCATACAAGATTGGCGTCCCCGAGGCTGCGATCCCCCGTAAACGCTGCAACACTCGTGTCCCCGAAGCCACGATCGCTGGTAGATCACACCTCTTTTGCGCCCTCGAAGCCACCATCCCTGGGAGAGCATGCAGTAGTCGCGATCTCGAAACCATGCTAACCTTTCTGAATCATTCCATACTTGCCCCACCAAGGCCATGATCCCCCGTAAATGACGCAATGCTTGCGTGCCCGAGGCCACGATCCCTGGTAGTAAAGTTAAGTCGGGCGTGTCCCCCTACAGGGGGATTTTAAACGAAAAATGAAAAACTCCAGAATGATCAAAAAAATACTCAAAAAATAATCACCTTCTTGACTATTTTTGAATACCGCCGCCGCCGCCGTCGTCGTCGTCGTCGTCCTCGTCGTCGTCGAAGCCGCCGCTGCCGCCGCCGCCGCCGCCCTCGTCGTGGTCGGCGTCGTCCTCCTCCTCCTCCTCCTCCTCCACCTCCTCCTCCTCGCGTCTTCCTCCTCCGCCTCGCGTACTCCTCCTCCTCCTCCTCCTCCTCCTCCTCCTCCTCCTCCTCCTCCTCCTCCTCCTCCTCCTCCTCCCCCTCCTCTCCTCCTCTCCTCCTCCTCCTCCTCCTCCTCCTCCTCCTCCTCCTCCTCCTCCTCCTCCTCCTCCTCCTCCTCCTCTTCGTGCTTGAATACCTCCGGCTGCCACCTTCATCGTGGGTGTCGTCTTCCAGGGTCGGCGGCACCGGCCGTAAGGCCTTCGCAATACTCCAAAATGGTCAAAAAATATTCAAAAAATAGTCCCCAAACTATTTTTGACTATTTTTGAATATTCCCCCTGTAGAGGGACAGGCCCCACTTAATAGTAAAGTACAGAGGGCGACGAGAAGCCTCGCTGGGGAAGCCCCGACGACACCCCGAGGACGAGGCCAGAGAAGAGCACCGCGGGAGCGCCGGAGGGCCCCAAGATGCCCCCCCCCCCCGGCGTTCGGACAAGCCGCTGGGCTGCGTGCGCGGCAGCGTCGCGATCGCGGCGCCTCCTGCCATCCCCAGGGGGCTCCCGAACGAAGTGAACCCCACCCTCCCCCTCAGAAATCGTCGGGGGTAGAGGTAGGGTTCGCATGTGGCTCCCTAATCCCTGCCCTCGCGGCCTCCACGCCGTCCTCCAGCGCTCCTTCCACGCTTCATGTCCCCTCTTCCCCCTGCGTTTCCGCAGCACGTCGTTCTGCATCCTCCTCTTCCCCCCACGGTTGCACCATAGGAGAGGAGTGCTACTCCCCACTCTCCCCCAAGGACCCCGAGGTCGTAGCCTGCCCCCGCTCCGCGCATTGCTTCACAGAGGAACCCCAAAAGGTGATCGATCATGTGTTGTTCCAACCCGACCGTTTCCGGTGATTCCAGAATGGCGCTCCCGCTACTGCGTTGGCTCCATGTTCTGGCTCTAGAACATTCCAAATCGTACTCGCGCTGCAGCGCTGACCTCATTTCTCAGTTGCGGATCTTCCAAACCGTGTTCCCGCTACAGCGTTGGCTCTCATTGAACGCGTGAGTGTGTTTATGCGTTTTAAAATCTGGATGTTGTCGGCCCTTCCAGGAAAGGCGATCTCTCTTCATGCTTAGCTTCAGTTCCGAACGTCCAGCTCCTCCACAATGGCGCTCAGGTCTCATTGTTGGCTCCAGTTCCGTGCTCTCGGCCAATTTCGAGAGGAGATCTGCGCCGTGGTAAGGGATGGGAGAGAGAGGGAACGACGTCTGACATGACGCGAGCGCACCTAGCCTGTTCTTCCCCTTCCCCTTCTTCCTCCTCCTCCTCCTAGACCTACTCCTCCTCCTCCTCCTCCTCAACTCCAGCCTCCAGCCTCCCCAAGGCACCGAACAATCCAGGACTCCGTCACACATTCCCTCGTCTGGGGTGAGCCGAGCAGCACGCGCCTCTCGGATGTCTGGAACCGTGGCCGCGCTGCGCCGCGCCGCCTCCTCATCTCCTCCTCCTTCCTGGAGGGCGACAGACGGAGTCAACGACAGTGCTCTGAGCGCCACCAGGGGGATCACCATTCGCACTGAACGCGTCGTTCAACACCTGGGCCCCCCGAGCAAGTCCCGCTTTCCCCGAGAGAACCTAGAATCGAATCGATAAGTCGGATCGGCAATCGAAACGAATCGGGGGAAATCGGCAGCGGAATCGGGAAGAATCGGATCGGCAGGTATGTATGCCTCCTGTGAGAAATCGGAACCAAGATCGGAATCCCAAATCGAATCGAACCGGAATCGGAAGCCCTCGAAGTCTAATCGACTCGAACCGGAGAAACCGAAACGAGCCCTGGCTCCCTCGCTGCCTGCCGCTCTGCGGCCCGGCTGCCCTCCCGTTGTGCTGCCCCTGCCCGGGTGCGCTGAGGAGGGGAGGCCAGGACGAGAGGGGGGGGCGCACCACAGCCCGACGCGTGGGCGCGGACGCGTGGGGGCCGTCCATGAGGAGGAGGAGGAGGAGGAGGAGGGGGAGGAGGAGAAGGAGGAGGCTGCTGATGATGATGATGATGCTGATGATGAAGATGATGAAGATGATGAAGATGATGATGATGATGATGATGATGATGATGATGATGATGATGATGATGATGATGATGATGATGATGATGATGATGATGATGATGATGGTGATGATGATGGTGATGATGGTGATGATGATGATGATGATGATGATGATGATGATGATGATGATGAGGATGAGGATGATGATGATGAGGAGGAGGAGGAGGATGATGATGATGCAGATGATGAGGAAAAAGATGAAGGGGCCCTGGGACACACAAATGAATAGGCACAAATAACAGGATACCCCATATTTTCCCATACCTTCTGGGCCTTTGTCTTCCCCCCCACTTCCCATATTTTCCCATCTTTTCAGGATCATCGACGATCAATCATGTCTGTATTTTTTCCCCTCCCGAAAAAAAGGAGAGGAGGAGGAGGAGGCGGAGGAGAAAGAGGGAGATACCATGCCCCCAGCCATTAGGTCGACTCCCCCCCAGAGCCTCATCCCGCTCCTGCACGCCCCCGACCTGCGCGCAGCCGCGCCGTGCTCACCCCAAGCCCGGTCTGAAGCTCGCCACCTGCGCCACGACTCTGCCCCGCGCCGGCTTCCGGCTGGCCCGCCCACTGAGAGGACGCGAACGATGTCGTTCTGTGACTGGCCAAGGACACGCTCCAGGAACCCCAACATCCAGCGGCCCCCGCTTCTGGAGCCCCGCGATGACACCACAGCGAAACCGGCCGAGCCGACGGCGACGGCTCAGGATGAAACGCCGGCGTGGGCCAGCGCTGCGGCCACGCCTGCAGCGAGCAACAGCGAGCACGGCGGAGGCATTGAAACGAGAGCCGAGAGGGAGGGGGGAGAGGGGAGCAGGCCAGGAAGCACAGGCAAAACGCGACGAGCAGACACGACCATGCAGGAGGCAAGGGAAGGCGGCGGCAGGCACCCCGCGCGGAACAACAGGGAACCCTTGAAGGCTCGGCAGCCCTATATCGCACCAGTGTCACGACCCCCTGCTTTCCTCCAACGCCCTCGCCCCGCTGCGGCGCCCTGCGGGGTCGGCCTCCCAGCGCGCCCGGGCCCGCCGGCGCCTGGAGAGGAGAGAACGCCTGGAGGAGAGAAGTGGAGGCCTCCCAGACGGGGTCGGAGTAGATGCGGTCGGAGGATCGCGCCCACGTCGCCGATGCATCGGCGATGCATCGGCGACGTCGACGTGAAGCAAGTCGGGCTCCACATCGAGCCGCATCGCCCATGCATCGACGATGAATCGTCGATGCGGCGCGGTCCTCCGACACCATCTGCTCCGACCCCACCGAGGGCCCTCAGAGGAACCAGCTCCATGCAGCAGACTTCGCCAAACCCCGTTTCGTCCAATCCTGCGGGGCAGCGGAGACGGGGGGAGGGGACTGGCTCGGGGGGGGGTAAGCATCGACCTGGAATCGACGACCCCGTGGCGGATCCGCACGCTCCTGGGCGGGGCGACCCTCATCGGCGGTCAATGGGCGACCCGGGGTCGATGCATTCCCACATTGGTTATGTTGTTCCCATCCTACTTAAATCGGGGATGGACAGACCTCCCTTTAGTAAAACGTGGTTTAGTGAAAACGACTTCGGGCCCAAACCTGGCGGGCGCAAGCCTGGAAAATAACGGCCAGGGCGCCCTCTCGAAAACCGAAAACGGACAATTCACTAATCGACGTGTCACTACTGGGGGTTCTGTCCACCCCCGATTAAAGACCGCATCCCAGAAATTCGCCGGGCCAGAGGCGTGCTAAGATCTCCGGTAACTGGCTAACAATAATTCTAGTTCGCGCGCGCGGGGCGGCCCCTGGGGGTCCCCCGGCGAAAAGTACCCCGACCGAAGCCCGGGAACTATTACTCAGAGATGGATTCCCTCCTGGGTGCGGCCTTCCACGCCCCCCGGAGCGCGCCAAGAGGGCCAAAAGAGGCCCCCGAGACGGTCCAAGAGGGCTCCGAATCACCGAACGATCAGCCCAAGACGCCCAACACGGCGTCAAGACGGCCCAAGAGGCCTCCAAGACGTCCCAAGAGAGCCCCGACCCTTCCCAAGAGAGCCCCAAGCGGCAAAAATCAATGATTATCCTTGGGTTTTTGAAGGTTTTTGGCTTCCTCGCCTTTTCGCCTTTCCGACGCTCCAAGACGGCCCAAGAGGCCCCCATGACCACCCCAAGACGGCCCAAGAGGCCCCCAAGAGAGCCCCAAGACCGCCCAAGAGGGCCCCAAGACAGCCTAAAAGGAGCCCAAAAGGGCCCCAAGAGGGGCCCAAGAAGGAGACCACGAACCGAAAATCCGAGCCTTCCGCTCCAAGAGGCATCCAGGACGCCCCAAGAGGCCCCCAAGAGGCCCCAAGAGGCGCCAAGAGGCCCGAAAGAGACCCCAAAAGGCTCCAAAACTGAGCCCCAAGAGGCAAAACTCAGTGATGTGCATTATGTTTCTGAAGGTTCTTGGCTTACTCGCAATTTCGCGTTTCCGAGACTCCAAGACGGCCCAAGAGGCCCCCAAGAAGCCCCCAAGACCACCCCAAGACGGCCCATGAGGCCCCCAAGAGAGCCCCAAGACCGCCCAAGAGAGCTTCAAGACAGCCCAAAAGGCGCCCAAGACGGCCCAAGAGGGCCCAAAGAGGAGCCCAAGATGGAGACCACGAACCGAAAATCCGAGCCTTCCGCTCCAAGAGGCATCCAGGACGCCCCAAGAGGCCCCCAAGGCCCCAAGAGGCGCCAAGAGGCTCGAAAGAGACCCCAAAACGCTCCAAATCGGAGCCCCAAGACACAAAAATCAATGATTATCTTAGGTGTTTGAAAGTTTTTGGCTTCCTCGCCTTTTCGCCTTTCCGACGATCCAAGACGGCCCAAGAGGCCCCCAAGAGCGCCCCAAAACGGCCCAAGAGGCCTCCAAGAAGGCCCCAAGACGGCCCAAGAAGGCCCCGAGACGGCCCAAGAGGCACTAAGACGCCCCCAAGAGGCCCCCAAGAAGCTCTCAGAGGCCCCCAAGAGGCCTCTTGGAGGCCCTAAGAGGCCCCCAAGAGACCCCCACGGGCCGGCGGAATGAGCGAAGCGATTCAATAATTTCGAACACCCGGAACAATGTCAAAAGAGTGTCGAAACAGTGTCGAAAGAGTGTCTCCCAGGGCCCGACACGTGAAAACCCTCACGTTTTGGAGTGCTTTCCTGGTGCTCGAAATTCACTCTGGCGATCAAGGCGAAAGTAGGTCGGCACATCATAAGTCAATGGGCGACTGGGGCATTCCCACATGGGCCTTCCCCCGGACCCTGCCCCCGGCTCTCGGGCCATGAGCTCAGCTTTCTGGCGGCCGCTCGGCACGATCCGGGCAGCCCCAAAAAACGCCCTCGGCGAGGCGCAGCTGCGGAAGAGCATCCCGGGGCTGGCAAACCGCCGGGAACAGGCGAAGACGACCGAAAACCTCCAACCTCTGACCTCGATCCCCCCACCCCCAACGTTGTTCCCAACGTTGTTCCTGAAATCCAGCCCCCTCGGCCCAAGCAGAGCCCTGGGCGCCCTGCGGGGTCAGCCACCCCTCGCGCCACGCAGAGGACTCCGCGAGCCCAGACGCCCCTGGGGGCGCCCCCAGGAGGAACAGGCCCGCGGAGCCCTGGCGTGCACGAGCAAGGCAGGATCATGTCGTAACTGCGGCACGATCGGCAGCTTCTCGATCGCCAGATCCTTCCATATTGGCCGATCCTGGGCCGCTGGTGGGGAAATCGGGGATCTTCTGACCCGGGTCAGTCCAGACCCAGGTCAATCAGGCCTGCAAGATCCTGCAAGATCCTGCACCCAAACCCAGGTCAATGCGAAAAATCCTGCAAGATCCTGCAAGATCCTGCACCCAAACCCGGGTCAATGCGACCCTGGCACTGCAGGATCCTACAAGATCCGGCGCTCTGGCTGAACCCCGTTTGCATTGACCCCCGCCTCTTGAGCTCCAAAGAAACAGAAAAATACCGATACCGCTACTCTACGGCCCTCTCCTGGGGTGCGTTCTGACAAGGATTTCGAGGCGAATCCAACGGTGGCGACGAGGGCCTCCCAGGAGGCCCAAAAAGGCGAAAACGCGGAGTAGATTCGCGCGGCGTTGGCGCGCCGGCGACGCCAGCGAAGGCGTTCAAGGTTGACTTCTGCAACGCGGAAGTACCGATGGACACGGCAACCCAAACTGTTTAGACACATGCACTCGTCGCCAAGGCGAGAGGCACATTTTGAAAACTTGCCGCCATCCGTCCTTGAAGCTGTTGCAAACTTTGAAGACGAATGTACGGGGCGCTACGGCGAGAGCCACGTTTTGAAAACCACCCGCCCCCCATCTTAGAAGCCGTAACAGCTTTTCAAGCTGCAGGGTCATCAGTGGTGAGGAAGTCTCAGGCGAAACGCACAGCCCGCCTTCTTACCGACACGCCTGAAGATACGACAGGGAGGAGTTATTTACAAGGGAACAGGATGGAGGAGGAGGAGGAGGAGAAAAGGAGGAGGGAGAGGCTCAGGAGGAAGAGGAGGAGAAGCAGGAGGATGAGGAGCAGGATGACCAGGAGCAGGAGCAGGAGGAGGAGGAGGAGGAGGAGGAGGAGGAGGAGCAGGCGGAGCAGAGGGTGGGCCAGGAGGCCTCCAGGGAGGCTCCGCGGGAGGCCTGCGGGAACTCTTACGCACGCGGACTGCAGGCACCAGGTGGCTGCGGCCACGTGCGGCAGGCCCGTGCCGTGTCGACACTGGTGGCGACCGCCGCGCGGGCGTTCCAGGCGGAACGCCGCCAGCTCAGGGAGGGAACGGGTACCCATGTTCGGAAACTGGAACATAGACAATACCAGTGGCGGGCTGATTTTCAATCCCGGGGCTTTTTGAGGGCCGGGGGCGACGTCGGGGTGGAGTGGTGTATATTTTTAGTCCGCTTCCTTTGGAAACAACGAAACGTATACACTGGGATCCCGTATACACCAGGATCCGCCTTCCTGTTTGCAAATTACAGTGCAGGGCCGGAAAACGCGTCGGTGTATAGAGTTCGGTTCCCTGCATATGGTGGTTTTTGCGGCGTTGGCGCGCGCAAAGGTTTTGACACCGCGTGGATCGGTCAACCTTGAATCGATCGTGGCCCCGATCGTACAAGGTCCAGTGGGGTTGCCGTGGCAGCAGTTTCAAGGACGGATCGCGGCTGATTTACAAAATGCAGCTCTCGCTTTGACGCCGCGCGCATTCATCGCAAAGTGTTGCAGAAATCATCAAGGATGGAGGGCGGTGGTGTTCAAACTGTTGCTCTCGCCGTAGCGCACCGCACATCCGTCGTCAAAGCTTACGACACTTGTAAAGATAGAGGGCGGCTCTTTTTCCAAATGGGGCTCTCGCCTTGGCGCCACTCACATGTGTCTAAACAGCTTGCAACAGCTTCAAGCACGGAGGGCGGCTGGTTTACAACATGTGGCACTCACTTTAACGACGCGCACATTCGTCGCAAATGTTTTCGCAAAAAAATCCGAAATAGAGGGTGGGTGGTTTTCAAAACGTGGCTCTCGCCGTGGCGCCGAGCATGTGCGCCTTCAAAGTTGACAATAGCTTCATAGATAGAGGGCGGAGCCTTTGCCTTAGCGCCGCGCACGTTCGTCTGCACATGTGTTGTAACAATGTCAAGGGCTCGCATGGTTGAACTCCCCGGACTGGCCCTCCAGCACTGCAGGACTGTCAGGGCGCAACCGCATCGTGGATTCGGGGTGTTGGAGCCCCAGGACTTGCATGCTGGTCCGATTTAGACTGTCTGGAAGAAAGAGTCACGTTCATCCGCCGCGCTGAACTCCCACGACTTGCGTATGGAAGGGAGAATGGATTGGAACACCGCTGATGCGTCTTAGGTTTGCACTGCTCGTTCACCTCCTCCACCTCCAGTTCCTCCCTCCAGTTCCTCCTCCTCTGCCTCCTCCATCTCCTCCTCCTCCTCCACCTCCTCATCCACCTCCTCCTCGTCCTCATCCTCGTCCTCGTCCTCGTCCTCGTCCTCCTCTTCTTCATCCTGCTCCTCATCATCCTCCTCCTTCTCCTCCTCTTCTCCTTCCTGTGTCTTCCTCCTCCTCATCGTCATCGTCATCGTCATCGTCGCCGTTATCGTCATCATCAGCATCATCATCATCAGCAGCAACAGCATCATTCATCGTACTCGTCGTCGTAAGCATGATCACCAGCAGCATCATCATCCCAAACATCAACATCATCATCATCATCATCATCATCATCAGCATCATCATCATCAGCATCATCATCATCATCTTGATCAGCATCATCATCATCGTCATCAGCATCATCATCGTTGTCGTCGACGACGTCATCATCAGCATCATCATCATCAGCATCATCATCAGAACCATCATCATCATCAGCAGCATCATCATCAGCAGCATCATCCCCGTTATCAACAGCATCATCAGCGTCAATGTCCTAATCATCATCGACATCGCCCTCATCCGCATCACCATCATCATTAGCATCATCATCACCACCACCATCATCAGCAGCAGCAGCATCGTCATCATCATCAGCCGAACAAGCATAATCAACATCGGCATCAGCAACATCATCAGCATCATCATCGGTAGCATCGTCATCATCATCATCATCATCATCATCATCATCATCATCATCATCATAACCGCCGTCGTCATCATCAGCATCATCATCGTCATCGTCAGCATCATCATCAGCATCATCATCAACAGCAGCATCAGCATCATGGTCATCATCAGCATCACCATCCTCATCATCATCATCGTCATCATCACCGTCATCGTCAGCAGCACCGGCGGCATTAGCATCAACATCATCTGCAACACCAGCATCCGCATCATCATCATCGTGACCATCACCACCTTCATCAGCAAGACCAGCATCCGCGTCGTCAACATCATCGGCACCATCATCAGCATCATCACCACCATCACAATAACCATCACCAGCATCAGCATCATCACCAGCACCATCATCAACATTATCATCATCATCACCATCATCAGCATTAGCATCATCATCATCATCCTCATCATCATCATCATCATCATCATCATCATCATCATCATCGTCAGAATCATAATCGTCAGCATCATCATCATCATCATCATCAGCAGCAGCAGCATCAGCATCATAATCATCAGCACCATTATCATAATCAGCAGCAGCAGCATCCTCATAATCATCATCACCAGCACCATCAGCATCACCATCGTCACCATCGGCATCAGCATCCTCACCATCATCAGCATCAGCATCATCATCAACATCAGCATCAGCAGCATCATTATTATTATCATCATCATCATCTTGATCATCATCATCACCATCATCATCATCATCAGCATCATCATCATCATCATCATCACCACCTCCACCACCATCATCATCATCATCATCATCATCATCATCCCCCCTCCCCCTCCCTCCCCAATCCCCCCTCCCGCCTCCCGTCCTCCCTCCCTTCCGCCATCCATCCTCCTCCTCCTCCTCCACCTCCTCCTCCTCCTCCTCCTCCCTGTCTCCTACTCCCTGCCTATTCCTCCTCCTCCTTCTCCTCCTCATGTTTCCTTCTGCATAACTCCGCCTTGTCGCACCCCGAGACCAGTCGAAAGGGCGGGCGGGGCGTTTAGCGTGCGACTTCCGCACCATGTATGATCCTGAAGCTTCAATTCTGCAAGAGCGTCACAGTTGAGGGCGGGTGGCTTTCAGAATATGGATCTTGCTCTAGCGCCGCGCACATTCGCCTTAAAGTTGTAAGAGTCTCACGGATAGAGAGCGCCCCGATTTCAAACTGTGATGTTCGCCTTAGCGCTGCGCACATTCGTTAAAGTTTGCAAGAGTTCCACTGATGGATGGCGGTCCGATTTCAAAATGTGGCTCTCGCCTTAGAGCCGCGCACAAGAGTTCCGCACTCCGAGACCAGGCAAAAGTCCGCATTTTCAAAAGGATGTTTTCCAACGGGGCATTCCCTCAGTGAAAATGACTCCGTGTAGGGGCCTACGAAGTGGGAACTTGGAGGGAGGCTGTATTGCAATATCGCTGATGAGTCTTTGGTTTACACTGGTCCTCGTCCTCCTCCTCCTCGTCCTCCTTCTCCTTCTCCTCCTCCTCCTCCTCTTCCTCCTCCTCCTCCTGCTCACTGTCTGCTCTTCCTCTCCCTCCCCCTCCACCCCCTCCTCCTCCTCCTCCTCCTCCTCCTCCTCCTCCTCCTCCTTCCACCCCACCCCCCCTTCCCGTTCCCATTGCCCTCTTGACCCTCCCCATTCTCCACCCCACCCCCCGCCCGCCCTCGCGCCCACCCACCGCCCAATCCCCTGAAAACCTTGGCGTCCGCCTCCGCGGCGGCGCGCGCGCGCGGGCCCAGCCGCCACGGGCACTTCACGGGGATGGGCTTCCGCGGCTGGCGGGGGGGCGGGCGGCACGGCGAGGAGGGAGGAGTATATATATATATATATATACACATATACATATACATATACATATACATATAGATACATACATACATACATACATACATACATACATACATACATACATACATACATACATACATACATACATACATACATACATACATACATACACACACATACGTACACACATATATGTACATTTACTGCACCTCACCCTAACCTGAACCAGGCCCTGTCGAGACTGCGCCAAAACTAACCTGACCCATTAAAATTGACGTGGTCAACGGGTCGGCGACACTAGTGTGTCACTCGCGCGCTGTAGTAATTGATGCAACAGAATGGGGCGACACAGCAACATGCAATGCAAAACTGCCAACTGTATCACTAAGCCCTCTTCGTTTCCAATGAAGAATCTGGCCAGCCAGCGCTGAAGCGAGAGCAACTTTCGCAATCATGGATGCGGCTGGCGCTATGGCGAGGGCAACATTCTCAATCATGCATATGGCCGGCGCTAAGAAGGGAGCAACATTCGCAATCGTAAAGGCGAGAGTGGAGAGGATAACTGTCGATACATATATATATACGCAAATACATATACATATACACATACATATCTGTATACTGATTTTCTGAACATCGCCGTACTAATAAAGGGTCCCGAGTGGGCCCTCTTCAGGGTCTCTTGAGGTCGTTTTCAGGCCGTCGCTGGGGCCTCCTGGGCCGTCTTCGGGCCCTCTGGGGCCGTCTTGGCCCCAGAAGACTCTTGGGGTTGTTCTTGGGCGGTCTGAGGGCCCACTTTGGCTGTCTTGGGGCCCTCTTGTGCCGTCTGGAGGCCCTCAGGTGGCCCTCTTGGAGCGTCTTGGGGCCGTCTTTGGCCCCTCTTTTTTTTGCAAGGGTGATAGGACACAGCGCCAAACGCGCCAGTCCCTTTGTGATCATAAACGCGCCAAACGCGGCATTTGTGATCATGTGCTTCGCACTCAGCTTTGCCTTTCTGCTACTGGCATTGGCCAAATCACTGAAAGGACTTTTTTTGGAGGTACCCCAGGAGATTCGATAGTTGGCCCTCCCCATTGTCGTCCAATTGGTATTGGAATTTGTGCGCGTTCTTGAACAATCGGTCCTGCATGCTCTGGACCTCGGCCTTACGAATTGCAGCAAGATGCCGATGCAAATCGATGCCCCCATTCAGGAACTCCTGGCGAGGAATGGAAACGTAAGCTGACCAGCCGTCCCAATTGATTTCGTAGAGCTTCGCCTGCGCGGAATGAAAGAACACTGGAATGCAACCTAGGGCGATAACGTCAACGATTGATTTCCTCGATGGCGAATCCCCAGCTGGCTGCAGACAAAATGTAGAGTTCCTTGCTTCCGCAAGGTTGGCCTTGGTGACTTTGTGATGTGCCGAACAGATGTATGGGTCGTTGTATGAATTACATTGATCAACGATTCTCTGCCGAACGGGAGCATCCCCTTTGCAACTACCCATGAATTTCATGAGTATTGGCCTATGGGCATTCTTATCCCGAGGAGGTTGGTTTCAAATCCAATGGACCGAACTCGGAGGAGAAAGAGAATACAACTTCGGATGGCTCGCACGCTTGAAGAATTCTTCTGATCCCCAAGACATGTAAGCCATGTCTTCGACCATAGACTCTGGCAGCGTACTCGGTGTTGATACCCGCATGGCTTTGGCAAATAACCCTTCTGGCTCTGCGAACCATCCAGTGCAATGTCGAAACAGGTAGTGCTCGTTGCTGAGCACAACGAAATGTTTATGTGCCGTGTCCTCGTTCGTTAAAGTGCGGAAGCAGTGCCAACATGTCTCTGTAGCCAAAATGGGCGCGAGTCTCGTCGCACTGTCTGTCGGTCCACGCCGAAATTCGTCGCCGACTTAAACGATGCGACTCAATGAAATGGGGATCATGGCAAGCCCAAGGCCCCAATCCAAAACTTATTCGATTACCACACAACGGCATGTGTGCCATAATTGGCATGTAAAACAAATATGCTTCCCTCGGATGTTCTGTCCGGTAAGCCGAATGGTACAAGCGCGCATAAACTATGTCTGCGGCACTGGTTGGTATCGCGTAAAAACGGAAACTCCTTGCCTTTCTCTCCGAATACTCTCTGTATATCAAGATACTTCTGCTTCGGCTGCCAAGATAAGTTCCTTGGTAGCTCGTAGACATATACTTTAAGTGGGGTCTGTACCTTGAGCGCCACGGCGAACCATGTTTGAAAAGTGCTTAACGTGAAACAACGAAGGATCATAGCCGTGAGACTTGACATATCTTGCTTCTCTTTGCTGTGGAAGCTTCTGGAATTCTGCCAGGCCTGTTCAAGTCAGAGCTAGAGCCAAAATGGCTTGATACAAAATGGGTACGGACCGTCTTTGGCCCCTCTTGGGCCGTCCTGGGCTCGTCTTGGGGCCCTCTGTGGCGCCCATTTGGCCATGTTAGAGCGACCTCGGGGGCCTCTTCGACCGTCTCGAGCGATCTGGAGACCGAGGGGCCGAGCATGCGAAACTGGCACCGTTGACGGAAAATCTCTGATTTTTGCCTCCCAGGTGCCTCTTGGGAGTCATCTTCAGGTCCCCTTGGGCCATCACGGGAGCCCATTGGGCTGTCGATTGGCCATCTTGGGCCCATCTTGGAACATCTTGGGCCCATCGTGGCCGTCTTGGGGCGGTCGTCGGGCCATCCTGGGTCGGGGATCTGCGGACCCGGGTCAATCCAGACCCGGGTCGGTCAGGCTTGCAGGCTTCTGCGCACAAGCCCGGGTCAGTGCAGCCCTGGCTCTGCAGGATCCTGCAAAATCTGGCGCCCTGGCAGACCCCCGTTTGCAGTGGCCCCCGTGCACTGAGCCCCGACTGGGGCCCTCTGGGGCCCTCCGGGCCCGTCTTGGGGCCAGCTGGGGCCGTCTCGGGCCCTTCTGGGGCGCTCCAGGCTCAGCCTCCCCAGACGGACCCCGAGTTGTGTCATATAAATAGATAGATAGATAGATAGATAGATAGATCGATCGATAGATAGATAGATAGATAGATAGATAGATAGATAGATAGATAGATAGATAGATAGATAGATAGATAGATAGATAGATAGATAGATGTAATCCTGTATGCCCCCAGGAGTCTCCTAGGGGCCTGGACACAAAATTACCAAACAATTGTTTTTTGGCTTCTCGCATTCTCCATGGGGTTCCCGGCAACTCCTCGTATGACTAGCTCGGGTCCGAGAGAGCCTCAGGACGTGGCAAAAAGGCCCCACGAGGCCCTCAAGACGGTCCAAGAGGGCTCCGCGACGCCGAAAGATCGTCCCAAGACGCCCAAGATGGCCCCCAGATGATCCAGGCCTCCAAGAGGCTTCCGAAGAGGGGCCTCAGAGGGAAAAGCCGCGCACAAATCCTTGAAACCGTTGCGAATGAATGGAACGAATGTGCGCGACGCTGAGGCGAAAACCACACTTTGGAAAGGAGCCGCCATCCATCCTTGAAACCGCTGCAAAAGTTGAAGACAAATGTGCGCGTCGCTGAGGCGACAACCACATTTCGAAAACTACCCGCGCTCCATCCTTGAACCGCGGCAACGTTTAAGACGAATGTGCGCGGCACTGAAGCGAGAGCCACATGTTGAAAAGGGGTCGCCCTTCATCCTTGAAACTGTTGCAAACGTTTGAAGCGAATGCGCGAGACGCTGGGGCGAAAACCACATTTTGAAAATGGCACACCCTCCAACCTTGAAGCTGCTCCAAAAGTGAACACACATGTGCTCGGCGCGAATGCGCGAGCCATAATTGAAAAGGAACCGCCCTCCATCCTTGAAACTGCTGCAAACTTCAAGCCTCGGAGTCATACATTCTAACGAAGCCTCAAGCGAAACGCCCGACCCGCCCGACCGACTCGCCAGGGGGCGCAACAAGGAGAAGTTGCTTATCAGGAAAATGGATGGAGGAGGAGATAATAAGAGGATGAGGAGAAGGCCCAGGAGGGGGAGGACGACAACGGACAGCTGGCGCACCCACTTCTCTCTCTCTCTCTCTCCCTCTCGTGGTCTCTTTGTTATTCGTGTTCTCTGGCCCCGTCGGCGTGGCGGCCCCTAGCCCCACGAAGTCGCGGGGTGAGCGTTAGCCCCCCGAGAACGGTAGGCGGCGTGGAAAGAACCATTCCGCATGGCTGCGTCCAGGACGAAAAAGAAAGAGAGAGAGAGAGAGAGACCGAATATTTGTTGTCCACCGGCCGTGGTTCGCAGCTGCGTGAAACCAAAAGTGTCTCGTCTACATCATGTCCGGCATCCGAAAGAAACTGTAATATATGCCCTTGCTCTCTGGCAGCCCGCTGCGTTCCAAACAGTTGCCTTCACTTCCCACTGGTCCGTTGTAGCATTGCGGCCAAATTCTGCCAAGTCCTTCGCCTCTAACCAACGCTCGGTCTGTCCAGTTCACGCCCGGCGGCCATGTGGTTTTCAGGTTGTTATAAAGAAAAGGAAGAAGAGGAAGAAGAGAAGAGGGGGAATAGGAAGGAGACGAGGAGAGTTGGAGGGAGGAGGAGGAGGAGGAGGAGAAGGAGGAGGAGGAGGAGGAGGAGGAGGAGGGCCTCGGGGAGCGATGGATGTGGATGTCTGCTTGCCCATGCGGGCAGGCAGCTACCCATATCCACCACTCCACGAGATCCCAGGGAACGAGTCCCGAAGCGGCTGATGTGAAAGTTGGACATGCTCTGGCGGAGGGCAGGCGGGAGTCACCCACACGCAACGAGTGGCCCTGGGCAGGCGTGACCCCGGGTGCGCGGCCGTCGGGGGGGCCGCGAGGGCCAGCACGCAGGCCAACGCTGGGGCCACCCCTCTAGGCCCGCACCAGAGACCACTCTGGCGAAAGGCCACTCCTGCGAGTAGCCGAGGAAGCTCCTCCTCCTCCTCCTCCTCCTCCTCCTCCTCCTCCTCCTCCTCCTCCTCGGGGGCAAACGTGGCTTGCCCGTCCTTGGCGCCCTCGTAGGTCGGCCTGGCCGCGTTCGGGAACGTGCAGACGGCCCGATAGCCGCCAAGGCTGCTCGAGACCTGACGGGCCACAAGCGGGAGCGGTCCCCCCCCTCTGGCAGGGGAGGGGACGCGACCGGCCCGTGCCCCGGTCCCCGCACTCCTGACGGTCACAGAAAGGGCCCAAGGGAACCCTGCATCCCAAGCTGGCCGACTTCAGTTGCAACATCCGCCCACAGTATCCCTAGACAGTTCGAATGCCCCCCGTGACGGCCCCCCTTGCGCCCGGGTGTGGCCCCCAAGGGTCCGTGGGACTTCCCTCGTCGCCGTCATTCCTCAGGTTGAGCAGGGAGACCCACGTCCCTGAGAAACGGATGGGCTGCTGCTCGCATGTTCCTCCTCCTCGTCCTCCTCCTCGTCCTCCTCCTCCTCCTCCCCTCTTCCCTTTTCCCTCTCAGCGGAAACACGTTCGCACCACGAGGACGGGGTGGAAAGGCAGAGTGAAAAAAATGAGGAGGAGGAGAAGGAGGAGGAGGAGGAGGAGGAGGAGGAGGAGGAGAGGGAGAAGGAGGAGGAGGAATGGGGTGTCTCCCTCTGCTTTCATCCCCTAGCAACCTCACCAACCCACCGCACCCCAAAAACGAACGTGGAACACAGATGCTCTCAGTGAGTTCCGAAAACCTTCCTGACACCTCCGCTGAGGAGCTGCAGGAGTAAGAGCAGGAGTAAGAGTCAAGTTAGCCAGGGCGAGCGAGTCAGAGGGCCCCCGCCTATCCCGGCCCCACCCTCCCTCCAACAGCATGAGAACAAATTGTTGCACAACCTGACAGTGGGCTTGGTACACGCTCCTCAAAACTCGCAAACGGAAAAGCGCTCGCGCGAGGCCCCGCTCCCGACGGCTTGGCGAAGAGAGAGAGCAACACTGGCCGCGCAGGGGCGGAAATGGCATGGGCGCAGCGAAGACAGAGCATGCGATGCGCTGACACAACACTGCAAATTTCACTACCGGCCATCGGCAGCGTCCTGACCTGCCGCGATGTGCGCGGGCACGGAAGGCCAGAGGCGCGGGTGCCCAGCGCCGAGCGCGCCCCCCCCTTGCGGGCCGCGCGGAGCTGGCGGGGAAAGAGACCCGTGCCTGGCCCCGCACACGCCGCGAGAGCCCCTTGCGGCCGAAGGGGGGGCGTGCCCGGAGTCGAAGCGGTGCTCCGCGCCGCGCACCCTGGCCTCTCAGACTTCCCATCCACCGGCGGGACGAGAGAGGGAAGATCGGCGGCGCGCACAGGGGCGGCACGGAGGAGGGGGGGGCTTCTTCGAAGCAGGGGTGCCTCCAAGAAGTCCCCCCCCTCCCCCAATGCCGCCCTCGGCTTGTGGCCGAGAGAGAGAGAGAGAGGCAGACAGCGACAGAGACAGAGACCGGCGGAATGAGAAGAACAACAGACCTGGAGGAACAACAAAACTGCACCAAACGTGAACTTCCGAGGTCCGCGCGGGTTTCCTGGATCGGCGCTGGACCCCATCTCGCTGGCCCACGGAACACGCCGGGAGCGGCGCCAGAGGCGCCGCCCAGGGGGGTCCGAGCGTCGATCTCAGAAACCCGTGCGGACCTCCGAAAGTGTATGTGCATGCCGTTTCTCTCCTTCGAGTATCACTGCTCCCGTTGTCGTCATCGTGGTTGTCATCCTGTGTCTCCTCTTTCCTTTACTCATCTGGCATCCTGTTGTCCCTGGCTCGCGCTCACCCTGCGGACTTGTCCCCGTTCTCTGTGTTGCGGATGCTGCTCTCAAACGGTCTGCAGGGGGCCTCGGGGGGCCTCGCGGAAGCTTCCCTGAGGGGCAACGATCGGGGGGGGGGGATAGACATAGGGGGGGAACACCTACCTGCAGCCGGCGATACATCACCGATGGATCGGCGATAGGCCCAAATCCGCACGTTCCTGGGCAGGTTGGGGCTATCGAGCCCCCATCGGATATCAATGAACGATTGAGGGTCGATGCATCCCCCCCTATGCCTATCCCCCCCTATCCCCCCTGTGCATATCCCCCCCTATCGTTGCCCTTGATTATGGGGGGGCCGCTTGGGGGCTGGGGCCTCTGGAGGCCCACTGGGCGCATCTGGCCTCGCGGAAGCGTTTTGGGGGCTTCCTGGGGGCGAACAAAAATCTGTATTCTTCCATCCGAACAAAAAATGTTCGTTCTGCGTCTGTCCCACAAGTTTCGGCTCCAACTGTACGCTCGGTCAAAAAATGCTGTTCGGTCAAAAATGTTGTTCGGGTTTCTGGAGGCCCCCGTTGGCGCCATTGGGGGTCCCTGGGGGGTTCTCGGGACCACCTCTCGGCGGCGGGCCTGGGTGGGACGCGAAAAGGGCCGGGCTTTCACAGAAGGCTCAGAAGTCCCCCAGCCTTCCGAAAAATGTCCTAAGCCTTCCCGGAAGACGCGGAAAACGACTCAAAGGCGCACGGGTTTTTGAGAAACCCCGCCGCCTTCTGAGAAAGCCATCTCCTTCTCGTTTCCTCCCCTCGTTCGCCGCCGAACCGTGCTGCCCACCGCGGTTTCCCGCAACGACCCTGTCACGATTTGGAGTGCATCTTGGGGCGGCCACAAGACGAGCTTCCTGAGACCCCTAAGACGGCCAGTTTGAAGGAGGCTGGGGGGCCCAGCCAACAGCTTCGCCTTAGGCGAAGCCAAGCTCCAGCTCTGTTGTACCATAGTAGCGATAGTCCCAGCAGGAGATGATGTGCCATCTTAAGCAATCGGAAGATCCTTTTGGTCTCGATAGCGAGTGTATGCCTCGCGGTGAGGCACAAGCATATTTGGGCGGCCGGCCGCTTGAGCCGACGCGGACGCGGGCACACGCTCGCTTCCGAGCCTTGCGTTCCGCAGCTCACTTTAGAGTCGGGGGGGGAGAGAGACGAAGTGTGGGCCCGTCGCCCCTGCACAGCAGGCACAGCAGCTAATATACACAAGGACAGAAAACAAAAGGGGCGGGCCAAAGGAAGGTGGGCCCGCTCGCAAGTTGCCTTGCTTGTACAGCTCTGTACTTGAAGTACTCCTCAGGCGGCGTCAGAACTGGATGTCTGGCCGGCCCGATATGGAGTATGTCTCTTCAGGTCATGCTTGAAGGCCTGTATACCTCCCATGCCTTGTAGGAGCATGTCTCTGTCAATGCTCCCCTTGGTGTGACCATCCACGGTCATATCGGGTGTCGCACCACTGGATGCTGTGCACGATTCCACGTTCCATCATCTGTCGTATCCAACTGCTGCGTCCTGGAAGGGTACACCCCGTCGGCTTCTTCAAGTTTTTGCCTGACAAGGATTTTAAACAGACTCAGCATATATGGCCAAAGTGACCTTGATGCTCAGGCCACCCAACTCAAGTATATCTTTCAACTGGGTGGGCGTGAGCGGCCCTGCGTGGAGCTCGTGCAGAGTCAGAATCGTGGGATCACAGTCCTCCAAATTATGGCCTGCTGCTATTGCCCCTGCTGAATGGCTCGAGCGGGCCTGCAAGCGGTGAGACTTGCAGTGCGCATCGATCAAAGAACGACAAGCTTACCGGATGACGTGTTTCCACGTCGTAGCAGGTTTGCCCTGCGAATGACATAGCCTTTGACGTCGTCGGCGGCGTCTCCACTCAGGCGTCGGTATCCTGAGTCGCTATGCAGGTCGACCTCGCCCGTAGGAGTCATCGCCTGGTAGACGAATTTGCGCGGGCAGGCCTGTAGCTTCCTGGTGATCGCGCCCAGTCGTCGCACTTGGATTTCGGTCGGTTCTTGGACGCGTTATAGAGATGCAACATACACCATCAACCACGCCTGGGTGATTAACGCATACGCCAGCACGCCCCTGAGGCTGACGATGACGTCTGCAACCATCTCGGCTGCCTGAGCGCCAGCGTCGGCGCCGGTGAGTTCAGGACGTTGCATAGGCTGGAGCTGTTTGATGTATTCATCTTGGTCCAAAGTGGCATAGCCGTCCTCATCCTTGGTGTATATCACAGCACGGTTGGTGCATGTGTGCTTGTTGAGTTTACACTTACCAAAGGTATCATCTGCGCACTTGACATACTTGTCAACGGTGTCCTCAGCACCGGCCATATTGATATCATCAACATGCTTAGCCGTGAGCAAGTTGTCGAACTCCTCGTCGTAGGACGTGGGGCGGCGACCAAGACCTCTGGTGGCCCTTGCGAGCTTTAGTGAGAAAGCCCGCGGTGCTTCTTTGGTGCCCGTGCCTGGTTTCAAGCACTGCAGGCAGTGCTCTGATTCATCGCAGCGTTCGAATCCTGGAATAATTCGGAGCACTGTGGCCGATACAGGCGGCAGGGTACCCCCCCCACACACGCTTTCCTTTTCACCCGTAGCAGCAAGGCCCTGATAGGTCAATCCCTCCAGGAAGGCCATGTTGATGCCAGGGGAAGCAATGATCCACTGCTTCTTGCACGCTGCCGCGCTGGCGAGTAGCCTCGTGCTTGACCGTCGCGCCGTTCCCGAAAAGATTTCTACGTCGAAGGCTTCAAGGTGCATGAAAACTCGGAATACCAGGCGTAGTCTGATGGTAAGTTCCATCCCGCCCTTCTCGTTCTTCACGAACTTCCATTTGTACATCGAAGTCATGATGTTTGACGCTTTGACTGTATATTGCATCCTAAAACACGTGTTGCCCAAGCATGTCTTGAGTTTCATGTAGAGGGCGTTCGGTACTTTACCGGGATTCGCCTGGGCGTCAGCTTTCGCGAGAAGGTCGTCTGCCTTGACGACCAACGCTTGCTTTGCAGCGGCGATTACGCATACTCGCACAGTGGTCACCTGGCCGGCATATAGTATCATATGTTGTTGTTCGGACAGGACTACCTTTGACACTTCTGCCGCAAAACAGAGTTCGACATATCGACCAATCTCGTCTGAGTCCAGTCCGTAGTTGTCGTCGTCGACCATGGTACACGTTGGGACGTAGTACGTCTCCCGACGTCGGAGTCGTGAGTGCGCCCCCACTTCGGCAGGTGTCCCCGCTGCTCATCAGCTACAGTGATCAGCGCACTTTGATCTGGAACCATCTGTGTAGGTATGGTAAGGAGCTCCTC